CGTACGAACAGTTCTTGCATGAGGCCCATTATGCGTAACTTGTAAGATACTATAATCTACCAAATCATAAAAGTTAAACAATTTCAACTGATAAAATAATGTATTTGTTGGATAACCTTAATGTTTTCTACTAATAATTCTCATATTTCATTTTTTGTAAAATAAAAACAGTATTTGTAATAGTTTTGCATGCTTTTCTCCAAACTTCCAGACACTATATTAAATGTGGTACGATCATTAAATTATATAATATATACACTGCTTTATTATTTAAGAACTATTTTACTTTATACAATATTTTTTGCTGCGTTCATTCTTAATTAATGAGATCTCCATGTCGTCTTCTCATCAACACCAATTCAATTCCATTATGAATTTCAGTACCATTAATTCTGGCTGGTGCTTGTGTTACTGAATATCATATAATTTGTTTTGACCAAATTCAATGATAAATTTAGATGAAATCAGGTTTGTACTTTTCTGACTTCTGTTTGCATGATCTCCAGCATCTGTTCAATATTTTCACCGTAGAAAAATGTGAATTGGTGCGGGATTAAAAAAAATCCACATCCTTAGATATTACGGTTTTGAAATGTTAATATTTCTGAAATTGTTTAGAGTCAAAACACAAACTCTCAGATTTATTGTCTGCAATCAATTTTAGTCAAACCACCTTCATGATGTTTGTTATATAAATGAACATTATTGAGTATTTATTAATGTTTATAGTGAAAATAAATAAAAATGAATGGACATTTTGGTTGATATTTAATTCTAAAGGCAGTGACAGCTGGTGAGACATACTGTATGTGAGTATGGACAAACCAACAGACCAGCTGTTCATCTGTGATGTCACAAACAACCCCGACAAACAAACCTCAACATTTAAAAATTACAATTTATTTATAATACTGGCAGAATCCAGRTTTCAGAGTAGGCTAGTATTTACTTTGTGAGGAGAAAAAAACAAAAACAAATCAGTTCAGCAGCACGGTGAGGAGCTCTTTAACTCCGAAAACCCTCAGAACAAGTAAAGAAAAAAACAACTCACCGAGCGGGCAGTCCCGCTCTTCTCCCGAGGAAATCCAGCTTTCAGCGGTCACTCATGTCGGAGGCGGCGCCACGCACCGGAGCGGGGCTGGGCTGGCTCTTATCCGGCCGTGCTGATGGTGATTATCGGATAACGGTTCAGGGAAGAGCGGGGCCCCAGGCGGTGGGTGCCGGAAGAAGCCGGTGCCAGGGAAGCGGCCAACAAACGGTGGTCGAGTTGGAAGATATGACGCATCACGCTCCGAACGCCGTGCTCTGTTGCGTCATCACGTACAAGACTGAGAAATGTACGGTGGTCCCAACAGCTGATAAAATCTAATACACGGGAATCTATATTAGTTTTTCATGACAAGTTTTGTTTTTTTACTTTGTTTTTCTCACTCATTTTCAACCCAGTTTTTCAACGTGACTACTTTAAGAATATCTCTTTTATGATTTAGCAACTTAACCATAAATCATTCAAGATAGACCAATAAATCCAGTTTCATTKATATAATGGAATTCCAAAATTCCTGAATGCAGTGACATTGTGAAGATAATTGCAGCACCACAACAAAGTAGTGTACATTTGCTTTAAAAAATCAATGTGACATGTCACGTTCCAGGTATGAAAGATGGCACTTGGAACATAAGGAATGTATTTTCTAAAGTAAATTCACATGAAAATTTTGCATTCTTTCAAAAACATTTGAAGATATGAACAGGTTTGATAGAAYACTAAATCAGAAGCAAACAGTTTAAAAACCTGTAATGTAAAATCTTTTTAGCACTACATTTTCATAGGTAAAATGGAGGGTGCTTAGGCGAATACATTGTTGATCAACATTGCAGCTGGGCTTGCCCAGGGCATTCAGTTCAATAAAAAACCTCACACCACTCAAACTTTGTAAATCCTCCTACAGTTTTCTCACATGTTTTACCATAAAAATTTCTTTTAAAAAATCAAAGTGCCTAATCAGAATGTTTAGTCAGTTCAAAAGTCAATTTTTCACGAGTCCTTGTAGTAGTGATGAACGGATCAGTGCTATTCAGTTCAGTTCAATTCAATTCAATTCAGTTCAATTCAATTCAATTCAGTTAATTTATATAGCACCAAGTCACAACATACGTTGTCTCAGGGCACTGTGCATGAAAAAAAAAAAAAGAACAATCTAAAGAAGAAACCAGCAGATTGCGTTGAATCACTTCATCACAGTCTCATCCTGAGCAAACGRTGGAGAGGAAAAACTCCCTGCTRATCAGGAAGAAACCTCCAGCAGAACCAGGCTCAGGACAGGAGAACATCTGCCTCGACCGGCTGGTTGGAGGACAGGAAAGAGACACAGACAAACACAGAAGAACTGGTCCAGGACTGGTCCAGGTGCACCTTCTTCTGGAAAAGAGACAAAGAAAAAAACATGTTATTGATAGAAATAATCACAATAAACATGTGGAGAAGAGAGACTAAAGACAACAGCAGAGTGAAGAAATGTGCTCAGTTTGTGCTCCAGCAGTCTGAGTCTATATACTTGTCTCCACTTTGTATGTAAGTTTTTCCACCTTTGTTTTTCCTTTTATTAAATAAACTGTTTACTTTTAGTTGCCCCCCGTGTCCGTCTGCATCCTGGGTCTTGCTGCCAAAGAATCTGATACATTTTATATAATGAACACAAACTTTTTCAGAATAGAGGTTGTATTTGCCTGAAAATCAATAATAAATAAATAAATAAATAAATAAATAAATAATCTTCTTGTTAGCCAAAACCCTAATCTGGAGTAAGACTTTTGCGATTTTCTCCAAAATCTGTGTTCTGTGACTGATGTCATGGTTCAAAAAGAACAAAAGGTGGTACTGTATGTCACAAAGCTGCGGCTCAATGAACAGTTTTCATGAGTGAGTTTACTGAATTTCTCCAAAACATCATGCGCAGAGCATGTATTATAAATGATGCTCAGCCAACACCATACTAAAAATAGCTTAGTATCAATTGTATTTTGTTAAATTAGTTGAGTTAAAGCTATTTTTGCATTTTCCAATGTCAGTTTTTTTGGGTTAGGGAATAGATTACACAATTTTGATCTTTGATTTCAGAGCCTTTGTCAGAGCTCTAGTGTATGGACAGAGGTCATCCAACAACTCACTGCACAGCCAATTGTTTGAACAGTCGTTACAAATGCAAAGCACCACAAAGAAAACTTTGCTCTGCATCATAGTTGGCTTCTGTTACACAAAAATGACAGCAAATTCAATTGAAGGTGGTTTTCATAGTCAGCTGATCCTCAAAAGCACTAAAACAGCTCTGACAGTTGATTTTACACGTATTGTTCTAAAGTTTGTTGTGATTGTGGCTGAGAGTCGCTCTCAACACAATGAATACTCCTCATTGCAAAAACATCTATGTACAATCCTAGCATCAACTTTTCATGTCAGAGCCGTTTATATTTTGCATCCTAAAAACAAACCCAGCTGTTTCCTGCTTCTTATTTCCTTAAAGCTATAACGAGGTGTGTGTGTGTGTGTGTGTGTGTGTGTGTGTGTGTGTGTGTGTGTGTGTGTGTGT